ATACTGCCACGGTGAATTCGAATTCAAGTAAGAACAAATTTGTCATAAAGAAAACCTGAAAAGTGTCTTGAAAGTGTGTTTATAGGGGGCTAATGCAGTGTCCTTGAGAAACATTTTCTTTCAAGAAAGCATTCATTTCTACTTAAATATAGTTTTCTATTGACTTGTTCGTATACATTGTCCGACTCGGTGGGGACACTATGTTAAGGTGCCCGAAGCAAAATACTATATATGTTGCACTTTTAAGTGATAATATGTGCACGAACATTTAAAATAATCAAGCAAGTTCGAAAATAATTGAAAATCAATTTTGCATGAGGGCCTTTAAACTGTCTTTTGCTGCATTTATTTTGGAGACTTCTCAAATTTCTTGTAGTCTTGATTCATTTCCTGCTCAATCGAAATTTCATATTCTTAAAATGTAGAATTCATGTCACGATTCAATAGAAAAGAGCTAATTCAAAAAGATTTATTAAAAAAAAAACAAAACTATTGAATACAAAATCTTTACAAGCATTAGATAGTTTTTAAACAAATAATTATAAAAATACATATATATATATATATATTGTCACTTAGCATGTACAACCATGACCTACACCAAGGTAATATATGGATATCCTAACGAGTATCCAGGATAAGTATATCCTACACCGTATACAACAGACGGAAATCTAATAAGTCCACCATAGGGAATTCCAGCAAATGGTATTGCACCATATAAACCATAGTAGCCAAATCCACCAAATCCACAACAGAGATTGATACCATTGAGGAACATTATTTAATATATAAAGTCAGACTAGTATTAATAAAAAAAATGAAAGAATCTATTGATTACTTTTATTCAATGTCTATACTTACTTTTCGTAGATATAAAATTTGTATTTGCAATATGAGTGAATATCAATGGAGAAGCTTTGTACCTTTTATACTCACCGCTGACGAGTATTTTTGTTGTTATTATTCAGATATTAATGATTCGAGAAAAATCTTAGGAATAAACAAGTACTTTTTTTAATTACGAATGCAACTTTTTCATTTATTTTTTTAGTGATAAAAAGAATATAACCTTTAACTCTCTAAATTAATATGATTAATGATGCATGCTAATGTATTTCTAAAATAACCGACTATATACAGGATGTCCAACAGTCACTTAACACTTCCTACTGGACATGTTGCACATATTTGATCACTATATATTATTATTCATTAATTATAATTGATAAATAATTGTTTATTATCTGTAAGATGTCCCGAGTATGCCTTTGACCATGAATAATGATTTATGGGTAATGAGTAATGAAAAAACAAGTTTTTGATGTGTCAAAGTGTATGCTATGCCAAGTGTAAACTGACATTGGGGACACCCCGTACTGTAGAATTAAACTAACAAAGTAAAGACAAATTTATTTAGATTGTTTTCTTATTAAATAGTCTTCGTACACGAAAAATTAAGATTTTCATATTCATAATAAACAAAAAAAATTGATTGTGTGTAATATTTCATTCTATATTTAAAATATAGAAAACAAAGTAATCAAACTAATATCAAATACACTTATTCGGATACAAAAAGAAAAGAAAAATAAAGACTTTTTTTTTGTTTTAATACCTGCATGACGCCAGAAGACGATAGTTTATCATATAAAACTATGAGTAAACCGGAATATCATCATAAGTTTTATAGCATCGTCAACTTTGTGATTGTTTTTCCTTACTATGACTTCGTTCTCGTCGAATAGGATGATATTGTTTATTTACAAGTCGATTTGATATATTTTCTAATATTGTGAGATGTTATTCAATATTTTTATTCGATTTTGATTCATATTTTCATTTTTTAATCAGAATGCTTTAGTTTTAAATCCTTGAATCCTTTTTCGACAATACATTGATTGTTTTAAAAAATAAATATCAATCATTATCTGATCATAAAATCAATTCTCTTATCTCGAAATTGTTTTGTTAAATATTCGATGTGACTAAATCAATTTATAAACAACTGAATCCATTATAGATAAAACTGATTTTGTTGTCAATAACGAGATTTTCTATTGATTGTTTCAATGATTTGTTCAAATCTAAGTAGTATATCATCAATTATAAGCACAGTGGGTGAGAGACAGGATTTAATTGAAACGATGTAATACGTTATTAATAAATATTTTTATATCAAAGATGCATAGTAGCAACTTGACGGAGACTCCGTCTCACCAGTTCTGAGCTACAGTAGGCTACTATTTAGTTTTAGGATTCTCTTAGAAATGTTGTTTCTTAGTTATATCCAAGTATTTTTACAAATAACATTACTAATTCAAAAACATTCTTTTGACTGACCACATTTACTAAATAATCTGATTCTTTATCTATGGATGATTTATTTAAAAAATAAACATTATACTCATAAAAAGCAAATGTGTTAATTTCTTTTCCAGCAGCTGAATTTATTTCAATTTGACATCTTATACCAAAATCCACAATTTCATCTGCTACAAAACATGAATAAACTATATTTGTTAAACTTCCCTCGATCAAACTAGTAAAATATAGTATGTGCAATGCAAATCAACAATCAATATTATCATTAGATTTACTCATCCTTATAACTGCTGCTTGTCATAGGAAATAAAGACATCAATCATGTACTACAGACACGCCTAGATGATTTATGCAAAAAATTATCTACTTTTGTTTCGAATAAACAAATCCAAAGTTCATTACAAACATATTTTATTGTATCTAATTTATCATAACAACATGAATTTCTTTTTGATAATCGTTCACTACATGAATAATGCACTCGGTAGTCTTTATAACAAACAAATACAAAAAAAAGGAATAAACAAAGTAGAAGAAAACAAAATTTTTCCTATTTGTGATACATATAGCAATATTGATTTCGCATCATTCTCACTCACATTTATTAGAAGATTTGCACTAGAGCCATACGAAGATAATTAAAAAGTATTTTATCAATCATCTAAAAAATGATATTTTCAAAATTTCTTTTTTGTCTTAAAGTATCAACAACCAAAGACAAAAAAGAAGCACAATCATGTTCTGTTTTATTTTTCTTTGTATTTAGTTTCGAAGTCAAATACACATGTAACATATATGTTGTTTTTTGTAACATCATGATGTGCTAACTGTAGGTCCCTACCATATTCAATAATTATACTGTAATGTTGTGTAAGGTATATTTTCTTTAAATAGAAAAGCCAAACTTATTATACTAGTTGGATATTGAAACTTAAATTGACAAATAAATCGTTTCAAAATTAGATAAAATAATGTTTTTGTTGATGAAAATGGAATAAACATTTCTTTTATGAATACCATTCAATATATTCACAAATGCATCAAAACCATCAGGGGCAAATATTTCCTATTATTTATATAAAGCAATAGCATTAACATGAAAGATATTTTCAATTCAATTATCTTTTGAACAATGACATTTATATGCCTAATCTGTTTTCGTAACTAAATAAAAATCTTTACTGGAACTAACAACACGCCTTTCTTAATTTGAAAAAAACGACTACGGCATGTTTGATACTTTAAGTTTGTTTTACGATTTTCAATGAGTGTTTTACTGTATATTTTACACATATTCCTAATAGATGCATTAGATTTAGTTGTAGTGTTATCATCGCATAGATCATGCAATTTGACATCAAATAATTCATGGCCGATTATGGACCAAACATTTAAGTGTAGCTGTAACTATGAATGTAAATAAATAATATAGTACACGATATAGATATAGAGCACTGTTTATAATGAGAGTATTGAAAGAAATCTGTACTATCAAAATTAAATAATAATAATTCTATGATGATTTTGGAAACTATCTCGAGAAATGATGATTTCTAGTGCAATTTGTGTATTGTTTATGTAGAGTTAGATTTTGAAACACAAATATTTTTTCGAGATAATCAGATCTTGAGCATGTTAGAGACACACTTTTATGATCTCCTATGACTTGAAGGTATGGATGTAGATCTTATCTTCACACACATTCACAAGCTTAAAGTTGATGTTTTGTGTAAAATACAATAGCACATCTTTTATGAGTTACTAAGAAAAACTAATGATCACTTTCAACAATTTAGAAAAACAACTGTAAGACAACAAGCCAATAGAAGAAAAACTAATTTGTTATTCTTCTATGTTTATTATATTGTTAAATCATTTAATAAATTTAAAAACAATGGTAGGTTGAATCCTTTCTATCGTGATATCTGTCCTCTCAAATGAAAGAAAATCGAGCACTGCTAATTGACCACTTGAAATCTCCTGCACAGTAAGGTGATATGGAGCCACGAAAATTTTTTCAGTAATATACTTTCAAGCGTTGAACATCAATGCGAAGTTTCATCAACGTCTCATATACGTTATCAAAGTTAGGTTTTTAAGGACCGGGGTTTTAATTAAATCAAATGCCAGTGACAATAAGTTGTTCATAAAGAAAATATGAAAATTTTCATAAGAATGTGTTGTGTACGTACAGTGCAATGCCTTTGAGACATACTTGTGTAATAAAAACATACATATGTAATGAAATATAGTTTCTTAACATCTTATGCTTATGAATTGTCCAACTCGGAGTTGATGCAATGCTACGATGAACAAAGCGAACTACTGTTCATACTAAACTTAAGTCTGACTATGTTCAAAAATGCTAAACATCAATCTACAGATTTCAAAAATTATTAAAAATTGGTTGTGTCCAAGTGTCTTTTAAATTTTATTTTGCTGCCTTTATTCAGAAGGCTTGTGTTATGTTCAATTGACTAATCCACTCTTTGCTAAATTAAAACTTGATATCTTAGAAATGGCGGACTTATTATACCATGATTCAATACATATGAACTAACCCGACAAAAAAAAACGTATAAAATAGCAAAATTATTTAATGCAAAGTTATGAAAGACATTTGATATTTATGTAAGCAATCAAAAAGTAAAAAATATATATGTCAATATTTTCAATTACGATCCATATTCATAACCTCCACCATATGGATATCTGCCAAAGCCTCCACCGTAGTATCCACCATAAGGAAATCCGCCAAATCCACCATAACCACCATAAGGAAATCCACCATATCCACCATATCCACCAAAGAGATAATCACTGCTCCAACCCATTGTTTATATTAAATCAAACTAAAATTAATGTTGAAATAAAAATCTATTGATTATTATTCAATATTTACTCTTACTTGTCTTATATATAAAACTTGTATTTTGATTATGAATAAATATCAATGAAGAAGCTATGAGCCTTATATACTCAACTATATCGTCTATTTTTGTCGTTGTTATTAAGCAAATTAGTAAGTATTCATTTATTTGCTAGTGAGATGTGCGTTTTACTCATTTTTTTACATCATCAAATTAAAAAATCTTCAGTTATCTACATCAACGTTGGCAATCATGCATGAAAATATGCGTCGATATTAGTCAGCTGTAAACAGTAATGTGAGATTTACACAATAGAAACACATTTATACTTCTTCCACTTTCTTATTCAATAAAATTTGCATACAAATAATTATTTTTTTTCAAACTGATGATAAACAATAAATTGATTTTCTATGATTTTTTTACTCAATATTTAAATAAATAAAACAAACTAATCAATTTAATGTCGAATGCACTTCTTCTTACATCAAAAAAGAAAAATCAGGCAGCTGCAGACATTTCAAAACTTTAGCAAAATTTATTCTATTTTTTTTTTGTTAAAATTTGGCAAATTACATTAAAAAGAAATCATAAAAATCTATAAAAATTCAAGTATGCCAAAAACATCAAGTCTTGATAATCTTAATATTTATCCAAATATTTCTTTTGATTCCACTCATCATATAGTTGGAAAAAAAGGACTCTAGGCTTTTTGAAAAGAATTGTTTGATTGTTGAGAAAATCGACGTTCTCGATAGGATAGCAAAGAGTCATAAAAACGAGTTTCTATTCTAAGATTTTAACCATCAGAACTTCACTTATTTTTCAAAACGCTGATTCATGATCCCCCATGGACGAAATTTAACAACAATTATTTTTGATTATTGAGTTTACTGTTCAATGTAGATTTATCCGTTGATTCAGACCGTGATAATCATTTCTTTTTCAAACTCAAATTTTGATGGTCAAAGTTCTAGAATAGAAACCTGTGTTTATGTTTTTTTTTCTTTCGTATAAAATAAAAATCAATTTTTCTCAATAATCAAACGATATTTTTTAAAATAGTTGCATATTTTTCTTCCATAACTGTATGCCTAGTAAAATCATGATTTCTTTTAACCCAATATATGCCAAAAGCAATATTTTGAAAGGTAACTTGATGAGATGGTCTATTCACCATGACAGACGAAGCTCTCAAAAAAAGTGTTCTGCTTCAGTGTTGAGTTGTCGACATTTTATGTTGTTTTCTTTAATATCTGGATGAAGACAGAAGAGAACAGTTTATCGTATGAAATTGTCATGAATCCGAAAGAAACATCATTAATTTTATAGTTGCGTCGTCGTTCTGATTATATAGTATTTCTATTACTTCGTTCTCATCTATTATGATGCTATCATTTATTTACAAGTCAATTTGATACATCTTCTGATACTCTAAAATGTTGTTACTTTTTTCAATTTAAGAATAATCGAAGCCCTTTTATCAAGGTTTCCAACTTTTAGGAGTTGCTATTTCTACATAAAGTGAACAAAATGATTAGAACTCAAATAAATTTTGCAATGAATTTTTCAAATGCAAAAAAATCAAGATGCTCTAATAACCGAGATTATGTTAATCATTGCTTGGCATGACACGAAAACGTTTTGCAAGATTCACGCCATATCAAAGAAGAGTTCTCAATAAAACTTATAAATGAATGGATGAAATGGTTTAGAAAAAAGTTAAAGTGGGGTCTCATATTAACAAAAAATAACGTTCAAGAAAATCACAAGGCAATCATATTTTAGTCTCAACAAATCGCTTGAGTAAAAAATTCGAGTGTGTTCTACTTAACTATGATAGATAAGATCATCAAGGTTTAACTATTACTGATTGTGATAGATTGCTTTAGCGTAGTTTCAAATATTTATTTACGTCAATGTAAGAGTTGCGTAAAAACGTAAGAAAAATATAGTTATCGGAAAAGTGATTGATTCTGCGGTAACATAAACGTAGAATGATACACAAAGAATAGCTTTTATTGAAGTCTATATCAAATCGTCAAGCTTTTTATGATCTATTGTTTTTGAGAATCGCTTTATATTAAAAATCTTTGTAAGTCTTATTTCTTCTGTTAATGCTAAGTTTCCATGAATGTTTTTGAAATTTTGTACACGTCAATCGATCACTTTTATTGAGATCTACTTGAAGCAATCAACTATGATGTATATTTGTGCATATGTGTGAATTTATAGGATCGTCGGTCATGGAGATCACTGTGGAGATAAGTCGATAAATGGCTAAAGAATTCTTATTAACATGTACGAGGTCTGACGAGACTACTTTTATTTAGTTTCAATCGATTAAAGATATTTTGCAACCATCGATGCCACTCTCTTGCCAGGCTATTGAAAACTAAAATTATTCTGTCCATACATTAATCATTACATCACAAAACTTGAGTTTTTAGGTTTTTTAACATCGAATGTATAATAGTTTTCATAAGCAGTCGTGCTTGTCAAAAGTGTTATGACTACAACAGAATGCAATGAACATGGGAACCCACTATTGACGATAAATAACCAGATATTTATAGATCTTTGCAATGTGACTAGGTATACATGGGATATTATACATTTAGTCATCGAGAAACCATTTTCCAAATACAGTAAATGGTGTTCTGCGCTTCAGACAAGAAATAATTATACACAGTAGTAGTAAGATGTCAATATGATCATATACGACTATCTTATTTTAGCGGTCAACATACTTTTGATGTCATAACAGAACTAAGTGCGTAAAACAGTGAGTTTGTTTCTGATGAAATACGACATATCTACAATGCGTAGTTTACTGTAAACCATCAGAAAAGCGTTGTACTTTGTGTCGTATATGTCTCGTATAGAGTGATTCTATACAGTTAGCAAAGCTACAGAGAATAATATTAATAATCTGTCGGCATCTCTATGAATACAATTACTAATTGAAAAACATTCATTAGATCTATTTCTTTCACTAAAAACCAAATTGTTTAACTAACGATGGTTTATTTGTCTAAATTCTGAATTTATTTCAATTTAATATCTTACACAAAAATCCACAACTACAATTGTTATAACTATTTTATATACCAGATGAAAATATCAATGATGTAATACAGAAACACCTTGATGACTTGTATGAAGATTATCCACTTGTTTTTTAAGTGAACAAATCCAAAGTTCTGTACAAAGATATTTGGCTGTACCTAACTCATCACGATAGCATGAGTTTTGGGGTGGGTATAGGTATAAGTATTAGTAAAGACAATAGTCACAACTCACATGCTCTTCTTCATAATTTGATGATCAAGGTTCTCTTAAACATCGCGTAACATGACACAAAGAACGTTTTGTAGGGTTCATGGTATATCACAGAATGAAGTTAAATACAACATATAGATTGATGTATGAAATTGCTTAGAGAAATTAAGTGGCGTCTTAGATTAACAAAAATGAATGATATCTGAATCTGAACAAGTTGCTCAAGTGAAGCATTCGAGTGTGTTTTACTCGGTTATATTGTTTCAACTTCATTTTAAGATACTTTTTTAAAATCAGTGTACAATCCTTGTAAGAACATCAGAAAAGCACTGATTGGAAGGACGGTACATTATACTGTATCGTAAACAATCATCCTAATACGAACTGTTTTTGATCATTTTTAAGTCAAACGTGGGTCGGTATTCATGGTATGAATGATTAAGAATTCTCAGCTTTACTATACTATTATTTATGATAGAGAGTCTTGTCACAGATTGAACAACACGGTAAGTAAATCTCCGTACATCAGTTACTCAGATCAATCGTGCTTGATCGTACACGACCGTATATCAATCAATAGCGACGGAAAAACGCAACTGTTTACGATTACCGCTTACAGCGATCGTAAATAAAGTTTCACGGTGTATTACGATCATCGTAGAGAATGATCATAGAAAATTGATATTAACACCGAGCGTAATAATACGGCAACTGTAAATGCTGTCTGGATATTATCCTAAGGCATCGTATAAGTTGCCTGTAAATGGTTTAATAAATGATCATCGTTCTCTATTGTTCTTCGTCCTAAACAGTCATTAATGTGACAAAAAATTACTTGAATGACCTTTTCCTACAATGCCCTATAAGGGTTGAATCGAAAGCACTCGTATGAGGCAATATCAACTTTTCATGCAGCATATCGACACAAACAACTCCGGAAAACCTTATTTTTATCTGATCTTTAACTGAAGAAAAAAATAGTATTTAAGAGTATTCTCAACAAACTTTTATGGAATGTGTAAGGACAGTGGTCTTGTCGACCACTAACAAACCAATTGGAATGAAGCACGTCTGGATTCGTCCTATGCTCAGTACTAGCAAACAGCTTTGATTTTTTAGACAAATAAGTAGGTTCTATAGTGGCACTTTTCTAACAGCATCTTTTGTGTAAGTGCTTTTTCAGAATGTGCGGGGTTTAGCTGATGTGGATGGGCATTAATGAGGGTGTGGGTTGTGTAGTTGTAACTTTAGGTGAGAATAAAAGAAAAATCATTAATTATACGCTTCAATTACAAAGAAAGTGGAACAAATCATTAGAACCAAGAGCTTCCTTGTAACAACAGAAGCACACAGACAAGAAAAAAATTGGTACGATTTACAATAACAGGATTTTTTTCTGAAATAAAAGATCAACAATTCGCTTCATTTATGATTTGATACAGCCAAAAGGTTGAGAGACAGACAATTATAATGATTTAATCGATACTATTAACATACGTTAACTGTTTATGTGAACGCGTGATTCGTTTAGACAGAATATATTCTAAATGAAGTTTACTTTTAGCTTATTTATTAGTCTTTAACTCATCTCAATGAATACGATTATTCACGGCAGAACGGTTGAATACAGGTGAAGTGTGATTTTACAGTGATTTGTATTCGTTCCTAAGTACTACTGTTGCATTTCATCGCAAACAAAAATATATACTCAGACGTAGAGGACATATTTCATGTAAACTTATGTCAATCTGCATATTCAATTAGATATATTTTTTCAGATAAGAATATTTTTTTATCATTCTACGGATGTGTTGGAATTTCTAGGAGATAATTCATAGGAAGAGTATAGTCTTAAGTAAAAGATAACAAGATTTTATTGAATATTTTTATAGATGAGAAATATCTGTTCGATTGTGATACATTTGAATGCGTACCACATTGATGAAATCAAATGGCAGTAAGAACAATATTCTCGTAAAGAAACTCCGAAAATTTTCTTATGAACGTGCTGCAGTCGTGTACCACATTGTCGTCGAGACCTGTTCTTTTAATAAAATTATGTGTTTATAATGAAGTTTAGTTTCATGTTGATTTCTTTTTATCAATTTTCTATCTTGAATCTGATACAATGCTGAGATGAACAAAGCAAAATACTATCCATACTGAACTTTTAAGTATTGATATATATACAAACACTAAAAAATAATCTATAAAAATTCAAAGATCATTCAAAAATCGTTATCTCCGATGCCTTTTAAGTTATATTTTGCTGCGTTTATTGATTAGCATGCTCTAATGTCTAGTGAATTTCATTTACTTTTTGTTGAATCGAAATTTGACATCTTTCAAATTTAGAATTCATACAACGATTCAGTATATACGATCTGATTCAAGAAGACTCATAAAATAACAAAACTATTTAATATGAAGTCATGAAAGACATTTTTTATTTATTTAAGCAATTAATTATTAAAATACATATATCAATATTTTCAATTACCAACCATATCCATAACCTCCACCATATGGAAAGCCACCAAAGCCGCCAAGGCCTCCATAGCCATATCCTCCACCATATCCACCATAGGGAAATCCACCAAATCCACCATATGGATATCCACCAAACTGACCATGATGATGGTGGTGATGACCGAATCCACCATATCCGCCAAAAAGATTATCACTACTCCAACCCATTGTTTATATTAAATCAAACTAAAATTAATAATATGTTTAAAAAAATCGACTATTTTGATTTAATGCGTACACTTACTTGTTATATATATAACTTGTATTTTAAATATAAATGAATATCAACGAAGAAACTATCTGCTTTTTATACTCAAATGTGTTGTTATTAAAATATCGAGTTGAAAAATATTATGAATAAGAACCGAATAATTCAGTACGAATGTAGGCGTATTACTCATATTTTTGCGTCACGAAAAATTGACAACCATCAACTCTTTGAATCGACGTCAGCAATCAGGCGTGGCAATATGCGTGGATATTACTCATTTGCGCACTACGATGTGACATTTTAAAATAAATCATTTATATTTCTATAATTTTCTTATTCAATAGGTCTTATACACAAAAAATATTGTTTTTTGTAATTCATAATGAACAATAAATTTATTATTTTGTATGTTGCATTTGATATTGAAATATATAAAATAAACTAATGAATATAATATCAAATGTACTTATTGGAACACAAGGAAAAAGACAAATAAATATTTTTGTTTGTTTTAACATCTACAATTAGCAACAAGACGATAGTTTATTATATTAAACTATGTTATTGTTTGTAATGATATTGTTTATGAACACGTCCATTTTCTATACATATCTTCTAATACTACAAGATTTTATGCCTGTTTTTTTTTTAATTTAAAAATAACCGAAGTCGTTTTATCAAGGTTTTTGAATGTTTGGAGCTGTTATTTCTATATCAATTGAGCAAGAAGAGTATTGCGATTTGAATAAACTTCATACTGAATATTTGGAAGACAAAAACCAACGAACCTTTTCATCTGAAGAAGTTATGTATACAGAAAAGCAATAAACGTAGAATATGGAAAAATGTGTACGCCTTCTCAATAATTTGATAATTGAGATTATGTTGATCATTGCGTTGGGCATGACATGAAGACTTTTTGATGGGTTTACGTCATGTTAAAGAATAAATACTAATAACATCTAAGATTGATGTATGAAATTATTTAGAAAAGTTAATTAGTACATCACAATAGTAAAAAATAATGTTAAAAACAACAATAGTGAATGATAATTTAATTTCAACAAATTGTTCGAGTGTGTTCCCCTTGGCTAAAATAAATAAGATTATCAAGATTCATCTATTACTGATTGTAAAAAATCTAGTCTGTATGATTTTTAAATCGTCCATGGACCGATTTTAACAACATAATTCATTAAGAATTCTCACCCTTTTTTAAGTTCTTATTTATTGTACAAATCTCCTTCAAAATTTAACCATATGGAACGACAACCTTGGTACAGGAATAAGTTATGATAATTTTTGACCAGAAAAAGACGATCATAAATGATATACACGGTAGATATCATAGATAGAAGTAGTCTAAATACACACTTAGTAATTATAGGATGGTATATGAACAATAGCTTTTATTGAAGTCTTTTTAACGTTGCGAGGTTTTTCATGATTTATTGCTCCTGAAAATTGCTTCATGTTAAAAGTCTTGCATTATCTTCGTTGTATCGTCGAAGTCTCTTTTTTCTGTTAATACTTATGTTCTATTTATATTTTTGAGCTATTTTATACATCAATCGATAGCTTTTATTGAGATCGACTTCAGGCAGTCCATCGTGACGTACAAATATGCGTATGTGCGATTTTTTATGACAGCCTGTCTTGGAAGCAATATTGAGCTTATAAGGAAATATGTAGTTTTCTCTTCAGTTGAGATGTGTTGTTTCTTCATAATACACATCAGGCCTGATGAGAGTGTATCTATTTAGTCTTGGTCTTCGGAAGATATTTTCCAACTCTCAATACTTCCTCTCTTGCTAGACTATCAATAGCTGAAACAGTTCTCTCTCTGTTTTTAACCTTGATATATAATATTCGTTAGTATTTTCTATGAACAGTCGAACTCCTCCAAAGTATTATATCTGCAATATGGATATTTCTAGTGTGAATACAATTATATAGTATCATCCAGAGTTAACTGTAAAGAAATCTTTTACAAACACAGTAAACGGCATCTTTCACTACAGATGAATAATGATCGTATATGGTCGCAATTAGAAACAACATAATTTTATATACGGTAATCGCATTTTCCTCGTTAACATACTGTAAACGACAACAGTGATTTTGTTTATGATAACGACGGTTCATGTTGAATGGTTCTATTCCATCAACAAGGTTAGAGAAAATAAGATCAGTAATATTTCAGCATCTTTGCGAGCAAAAGCAGCAACTATTCAAGAAATATTCATTTGATCTATTATATTTACTAAATAATCAAATTGCTTTTTTTAACTAACAATGATTTAATTACAGTAAAACATTATAATTATAGAAAAGAAATTGTTTTGATTTATTTTTGTCCAACTGTTGAATTTATTTCAATTTGAAATTTTACACCAAAATCCACAATTTCAGCTGTTACACGACATGGATAACCCATATTTGTTAAAATTCCTCTTATCAAACCCGTAGAATATGCTATATACAATGCATGTAATTGATTGATATTATCAATAGGTTTGTTCATTGTTAATAGTGTTTGCTGTAATAAACGAAAACGTCCATCATGTATTACATAAACACCTTGATGATTTGTACGTAGATTATCAACTTGTTTTTTAAATAAACAAATCCAAAGTTCTTTACAAAGATATTTTACTGTATCTAATTCATCACGATAACGTGGATTTTCTTTTGATAATCTTTCACTAAGTGAATAACCCACTCGATAACCTTTACAACAACAAAAAAAACAAAAGACAGAATAAACAACATTAAACAGAAAATGAAAATTTTTACCTATTTGTGATAAATATAACGATGTCGATTCAACATCATTTTCGTTCTCATTATTATAAAATTCAACAATAGCCATATGAAGATAATCAAAAAGCGTTTCGTCAACCATCTAAAGAATAATATATTCACTTTTTTTTTGTGTCTCTTTTTTCTATTAATATCAACAACAACAATAGAGAGAACAAAAGAAAACATAATTATCTATTTTTTTATTATTTCTATCATTTAGGTTTAGTTTCTAAATCAGATACACGTCTGACAAATATATTATTTTTTGTAACATCATTTGGTGCTAATTGTAAATCAGCACCATATTCATAATTATATGACGATGCTATAGCAAGCATATTTCCTTCAGATGAAAAAGCTAAACTTGTGATACCAGCTGGATATCTATAATAAGACAAAAAAAAAAAAATTAAACCATTTGAAAAATTAAAATAAAAACAAAAATTTTTACTGATGAAATTGACATAAACGTTTTTTATTTGCACCATCCCACATATTTACAAATGCATCGGAACCACCAGTAGCAAATGTTCCATATTGTTTATGAAAAGCAATAGCATTAACAGGAAAGATATTTTCAATACCATTATCTTTTGAACGATGACATTTAAATGCATATTTTTTCTTTTGAATTTCAGGATTTGGATCAAAAAATTCTACAGCAACTCGACCTATATAAAAAATAAAAGGTTTTTATATATAAATTTATATTAAATAAAAACCTTCAATTGAACTAAGAACATATCCTTGCTTATTTGGAAAACAACGAATACAACGTGTTTGATATTTTAAATTTGATTCACGATTTTCAATTGGAGTTTGATTATTTGTTTTGCGTAAATCCCAAATTGATACTTTACGCTGTGCTGTTCCAACAACAAGTAATTCACCAACACTATCTAATGTATAAACCTATAGAAAAAAATAATAATATTCAATGAAAAGAAAAAGAAACTAAAATTTATTAAATTTACTTTATCAGGTAATGAACAAGAACCAAGACAATTAGGTACACGTGAATCCCATAATTTAATGGTTGCATCCCATGAACCGGTGATTATGATATTTACTTCAGGTGAATAATGTACACATCGAATTGCATTATCATGATATCCCATCAAAGTTTCTTAAAGTTAAAATTTTTATTTTTTTTTGAATTAATAAAAAACAAAAATAATCTATACCTTTTTGTGTATTAAAATCATACAGTTTTAAAATACGATCTAAACCACCACTAAGTGCTCGTGAAGCATCCTTTAAAAAAAAAATTGTAATACAAGAATTATTCTTTAAAAAGAAACGTCATACCGGAAAACAACAATCCAGTACAGGACCTGCATGTTTATACATATGACGGAATGTATGTTGATTAACGTCATATAAACTAAATAAAAGATATAAATACTTAACTTTTTATTCTATGATTTCAAAACAAGCAGTGAAAGAATTTCTTTTCTTGATATCGAATTTTAGTAAATTTAATGTTAAGTAGTACAAAAATTATTCTTAGATTAGATATGATAAGAAAATAGAATTTTATTGAAAGATACAAAATCAATTATCTAGTTCTCGTGAATCATGCTTGAAAAAAGAGTGATATAAATTTTGCAACATATTTGCATGAATGATTTCTTTAATACGATTGAATATTTACCGAACAGAACTATCCCATGACGAAGCGATTAAAAATTGACTTTGATTATTTGGAGAAAAATGTACTGATGTAATTCCATCTGTCGGTGGATTTTGAAGTTGATATTCAGTCATTACAAATAAAATCGTATCTGAAAAGTAGAAGTTAGAATAGCATTTCAAAACAAAAGAAGAAAAAGAGAAAAAAAAACACAAAGAGAAGAGTTATGAAGATATTGCAGGATTTGTTTTAACTTCAACTTTGCCTTCATTACTACCCAAATATGCTTTATAGATCATGTTCACAAATAAACCTGTTTCAACAACACCTATAAAATAAAATCGAACAAATAGAACTAATAATTTACAAAATAAAATTTATTGTACCAGGAATCATTTTCAATATTCGATTAACATCTAACCAATTTGAAATTTTTGATGCATCAAATTTCCAATCGAGAATAAAATTTCCTTGATCAGTTAATACTGGACCCTAGAAATCTCTTCGTGTTAGTTTTTTTTCAATATCTAACTTGTTTCTATTCAAACATACCACTTTTTCTGTACCTTCACGAACATTAACTTCACCACCAAGTTGCTTTTCAATTTCTCTTTTTGTTACTTTATATGCTATTTGCATAACTTCAATTGGAATGCCTTTTTGCCATTTATCACCTAAACTTGTTGACCATTTTCTATTAACGAAAAAATAAAAAAGATTTTTCTATATTAATTAATATATTTTAAATTCTTCTACTTTTCATCAGCAACAACAATAAATTTCTTTGCACAAAAAGCAACCAGTTTCTCTTGTGTTTGACATCCACCACCACCTTTTATACAATTAAATTGAGCATCTATTTCATCAGCACCATCAATTGCAAGATCAAGCTTGAATATAAAACAAAAGCAAAGTTAAATAGCAATAAAAACTCATATATAAACTAACCTCTTGATATTCAGCAAGACTAGCCAATTTTAAACCATTGGAGAGAATAAGTTCACGAGCCTAGAAAAGACAATTGTATTTTATCATAGATTTATCATCGTATCAAATATAGTGCAGAGAACGTGATCAATAAATAATAGCCAAGTCAATGCTCAAAAACAAAAAAAACAAGCAAATCCTTTCTTATTTAAAGGAAAAGCATCGAAAAACAAATATTATTTATCCATGCTCTACATCTTACACGGTTCTTTTTTCTTAGAACTACTCAATAGTTTTAAGATTATGGTAGTCTCATCAATTTCAATAATAGATGACCAATGAAAAAGAATCAATTTTTTTGAATTATCTATTAAGTTCTTCAAGCTGAGCACAAACTTGTAATGAAGTCGGAATACAAATTAAATCAAGGTTGTCTTTATGGACGATTTCCGCTAGAAATTTTAAAGAAATCAATTATCAATCAAAAACATTTTTTTTTTTGTTTTCAATACCATACCAATTTTTTGTACTGCTGGAATAATTGTGGAGCCTGATCCAATACCAATAATATGTATATTCTAAGAAAAAAAAACAATCTTTATTATATAAAATATTTTTTTTAATTTTATTTTGTTTTCTACCTACATTACGAATATTTTCATTAACTGCAGCGTGAGCCGCAACTTCTTTAGCTATACTTGTTGGCATAATAAATCTATAACTAAAGAATATTCGTTTCGTTTGTATATCAATAGAATATATTCGATATAACACATTTATATCAAAAGAAAAGAAAAACAAACAAAACAAATAATAGAATTTAAAAATAACGAAACAAAAAGAAAACAGAAAAAGAAATTTAAAAGTTTGCTCGACAATGTGGGCATGTAGATTTATTTGATGAACGAAACCAACGAAACTAAAAGAAAAATTCGATTGTTTTTTTTTTTGTTTGTTTGTTATCAAAATAATATTTTCTATGTAAACTTACCAAACAAGCATCATGAAATTTCTTTTTACATGTTCGACATGTTCGTTTAGGTAATTCATTATTTGTATGTAAAATACAATAACATATTGAACATTCTTCAATACCTTGCATTGTTTTATCAATATTTTGTTTCCAATTTAATAAACCATCAGCTATACTGCCATTCTAAATATAAAAGACAAAAAAAAAAATGAAAAATTTTTACTTTTTATTTTTCAAAATTTTATTTACACTTTGAATTAAATTTGTTTTTAATTGAAGCATCCATTTATTCCATTGTTCTTTTGTAAAACCAACATGATGTGTACATTCAATAGATGCTATACTTAATGGATAATTCATTGGTAAACGTATACAAATTTCAACACGTGATGTTTCAATATTATAAATAGCTGTTATTTCACGTGTATTTGAATGTTTTTTAACTGTAAATAAACCTGTTTCACCGACATTTATATCTTTTAATGTTGATGCTGTATCAAGTTCTTGTTGAATTAATATGGGGCTAACATATTTTTGTGTTACACGATCAACAGCATCACGTATACGTTTTGTTTGACTTTGAAACCATTCACGAACAAGTCCTGGAATTAAACTTAAACATTGAAAATAAACAGAACACGCCAAATGTGGAATTGTATAAGTTGATGTCAGATCACCTAAAAAATATTTTAACGATATATATATATACCATAGTTGAAATTTTACTGTTTTTTTTTTAATTTTTCCATTGGTTTTATGTTAATATTAGTTAGAAGAATGGCTTAAATATGTTATTGGAGTATAGTGTATGATTGATGAGATTTTTATTCAATGAAGAATATATGTTATTTTTGCAATAGAGTTCAGCGACACTAACTAATACACTACAGTAAAATACAGTATTTAAGGCGTTCTTATAGCCAAAATTCATTCGAGATCAATGAGATTCGATACAAAAAAAATTGAAAACTATACGTATTGTCATATTAGCGAAAATCACAATAGACAGAAGCTTTAAAATAGGGAAAACCTATATAGGACTATGGAAAATGTTTCAAAAGAGCTACTTCTAACTCAATTAGAAGAGTTCACTAAACATTCGTTATTATATTCATAGCTAATGTTTTTTCTTGTTCTACATCGAAATAAAAAGTTTCGATAAAAGCATTAAAAATGTAAAAGACTATCTCATACTCAGTCACTTGTTTAAGTTGTCAATTTTCATTTATATTAACTCTTGACTAACTATACTAAAAAAAACAAACAATATGTTGCCAAAAAAATGTCAAACTATACGTGAATAAAAATGAAAAGGCTACCAAAAAAGAATTACTTCGTAGTATGATCGAAAGAGATAGAACTGACACTTTCATACAAGAGATAAATGCATAAGAAAGGTAATACGAATACTATGAAGATAAACAAAATAGAACTGCGAAAGAAAAAAACAATACATTCCAACATGTATATAAACGATTGAGTCATTAAAATACATCTGTACACATTTGAAATATTTTCCTTGATAACAACAACGTAATAATATGAAAAATATTCAAAACTAGATTACTCAACATACTGAATTGTTCTACAGCAATGATGAGTCATGTTCGCTTAAAGAAAACTCATAAAAACACATTTCTTTACTTCAATGTCAATATCATAAAATTTTATATTGTTATTTGTTTCTTTGATAGAGGGTAGATTTTATTTGAAATATGTTACAAAACCGTTTTATGATTCATTGCAAAACACAAAGTTAGCATATCACGTGATTGGTTGAAAATACTAACTAATGCAAAATCTACGAACTTAACCATATAATGTAGGTCGAGTCTAGATTAGAGCCCTTCACCGGGTCCAAAAATGACTTGCTGGACCCGGACAAAGAAATGTCAACCGTTCCATCATTTTTTGTGCTAATACGTTATTCAAATGTTCATTTTGTAGGGCGATACATTCTCTTTCATCTCATCTATTTAGAAAAGCATTAAAGTTCGTGATAGTCAAAAGTTTTTAAAAGAAAAATTCCGGGTCTGAACTTTTCGGGTCCGAGCGAGTCCAAGTTTGGACCCGGACTTTTTCTGTTAAAAAATTTCAGCTATGAAGGACTCTAATGCTTCTCTAAATAGATGAGGTGAAAGAGAATGTATTGCCCTACAAAATGAACGTTTGAATAATGTATTAGCACAAAAAATGATGGAACGGTTGACATTTCTTTGTCCGGGTCCAGCAAGTCGTTTTTGGACCCGGTGAAGGGCTCTAGGCTAGATTGATCACGCCATGTACATAACTTGATCGAACTGACAGAGTATATCAAAGAGTGTGGATGTCAGGATGTCGCTTATCTAAAAAAGTATCAGCCAACAAAACGACTATAGAGAAAAACAAATGAATTTGTCTATATTCTAGATCAATTTAAACATGTATCAGTATTATCTGAAAAAGCAAAAAAGACCCTCAAACTACAATCGATCCTATGCGATCAACATGTCTTACTCATATGTAAAGAGATTTTAAAAAAAACAGCTTATTTTTCGTTCTATCATTGTTAGACTTGTTTTTTTTTCTTTTGACTATGTTGAACTTTAATACATCTAATTCTATATTATTTCTGTTTTTGTACTTTTCTTATATTATAGTCTTCAATAAATTCAAAAGCTTATTCATACCACGATGAAAATACAATAGTTCCAATCGTTCTAACAAAATTCAATTATCAAAATAAACTAGCAACTATATCCTTAATGTGATATAATAAACATAACTTCAAACATAATTGATGATGAATTTCTCAAGCGTTCAAACTTTGAAAAAGTAATCCATACACGAGTTAAATAGATAATACAAACTAGTATAATCTCACATGTATACATGAAAAAAAAAGTAGCCATCCCTCTTTAAGAATATTCTATTTTATTTTTAATGATTGTTCAAAAGAAATTTATTATTCTGGTAGAAAACTCAGATCAGTCTACTATTATGAATTTTCAAATGGGATTTATTCATATAAATATAACTTCTTTTTTTGTTTTTAATGTTTTCCTTAACTTACCATTGGGAGTAAGTTGAATATCATTTTCAAACATTGATTTTGAATGTGTTAATTTTTTTGTAATAGATGATACTTGCATAGATAAAGGATCATTATAAACTGGATTAGCAGGAATTAATCCAAGTACAATTAAAAGAAATCGATCAACTAATTTTTTTTCTTGTAACATTAATTTATATGTATAACGTTGTTCAATTGATGAATAACAATTTATTAAATTAAGTAATAATTTATAATTTAATAATTCACCAATAATAATATGTTCTTTATCAGTCATAACTATTGATGGTGATCTTTCAGATATAACTTCATGTCCATGATCATCTAATAGATGTTCTTCAGCAATATCATTTTCATTTAATAATTGTTTTATGGTATTTTCAGTACGTTCTAATGCTTCAAGTATTGAACCAGGTAGACGACATATTTTATCATCTTCAGCTATTGTTTCATGATTTGTTGTTGTTAGAATAAGTGTTGGTGATATATGTGGTAGAAGTTTATTTAATAAATGATATGCAGAATATTGTAATGAACGATTTGGTGCTAAACAAAGTAAACGATGTAAATGATTAAATACTGTTTGAATTGATTCAGATAATGTTGATTGATTGTCATCAGAATGAAATAATGGTTTGAGATTATTTGACAGAAGATAATCAGTTGGAATAGTAGACATTGCACAACATATAGATTTTACCATTTCATTTGTTACATAGAATGATGAAAATTCAGCAAGAGCACCTAAGAATTCATTTTTAAAGAAATTAAATAAAATAAATAAAATAACATTACTCACTAGGTAATGCAATATAAAGTGGTAATAAACCTTGATAAATATCTTTACTATAAAGTAATAACCATTCATCTAATAATTGTTTTTGAAATGTATCTGTTTCATCCTGTTTATCATTATTATTATTATTATTATTTGTTAAAAGTTTTCCAATAGTTGTTAATAAATTTGAAGCATGAATAAATAAAAATTCAGTTCGTAATGTAAATTGTTGATTAATTTGTTGTTTAACATTTGTTAAATTTAAAAATAAATTACTTATTAAACATAAAACATGATCCCAATGATTTTGTTTTAATGTATAAACAAATGTACCATGATTTAATAATGTATTCCATAATTGTATTAATTGTAAAATTTCTTTTGATGATATATTTAATTTTATTAATATATTTAATATATTATTTAAATAATTTTCATCTAAAATTAAACCTAATTTATTCATACGTATTAATGATTGATTTAATGCAGCTAATGTTAATTCTGAACGTCTTTCATCTTGACATTGTTCAATTAAATATGGTATAATTAATTTTGATTGTGATTCACGAAAAAATGATGCTAATATTAAATGTGTATTTAATTCATCATTATTATTTAATATAAATGTATATTGTATTAAATCATCACGTTGATTTATATTTATATATTTATCTTTTATTTGACAATAAATATGATAATAAATTAAATCGTTATAAAAATCATTTGATAATAAAGATTTTTCAATAAAATTAAATTCAATATTAAATGTTGATATATGAAATAAACGTTCAAATAATATATATAATTGTTTTGTATCAATACAACGATATTGAAATAAATAATAATTAAGTATTAAATTTTTAATTAAATCATTATTTAACCATAAAAATGAATTTAATTCATAT